TATATTATATTATATAATATATAAGTACCATGATTATTATAGTTTATTCTTGCATTGTGCAAAGTTGCTTCTTGTCTAGTGCAAAAATTTGACGTTTATGATATTGTTATTATAAATCTAACTGATGATGTGTGTAATTTATTTTCTTAAGTCAATACAATTGGCAACTTAATATTTTATTTAATTTCCTCGAATAATTTTGGCTCTTTAAAAATGGTAGATTAATACATATAAGGAAAGTGAATGTGTTCTTGCTAATCAGTTATTCCCTGTCTTGATTTCAATTTCAACACAGTATCTAATTTCGTGTATAAAATTCGTGAAAGTTTAGACACGAGGCCATCGTTAGAACTTGAAAGCAGAAGGCGAATAGAACCGCAGTAGGATCGTGAATAGGGTCGTGAAAATTCGCACGCGCTCACATTCCATTTGGTCTTCCACGTCTGCTTCTTCTCTGGAGGACCTTGGCCCGATTTGGTGTTGGAAGCGAGAGCCACACACGAGGCTTTCTAGCCTCTCCGTTTCCTCCGTCGCTTTCTGCCGGCAGCGTGGAATATCTCGTTACGTAAAACGAACGGGGGCCCCTTCGTTCCCTTGGTAGCCCTAGGAATAGACGTGCACGTATATTTTCTGTTTCATTTATCACCGCCACTTTGCGCGGCGTTTCGTTACCCGGGTTCCCTTTCCGGTTCCCCGACGCAACGGGGCGACCTATTCCTGGCAACAGACGCGCTGCCACCTTAGTGCGAACAGCCAGCTATAATTGACCGGTGAGCAATGCGGCTCCGCCGTCGGCTTTTATTTTCACGTTTAGCGCCGACATGTTCCGTCCAATCGGGTCGTTAATTACGGGCGAAGGGAGGACCGACCAGGTTTCTTTGAATTCGTATTTTGAAAACGAAATGTGTCACAGGGTCGTGCGGAGTACATTGTACGGAATGGTCCGCGGTTTCACTTCCGCTGCGGTGTTCGGTTTTGCAAAAGAATAAAATTGAGGGGTTCGTGACTGAAGTAACTGTGATCCTGTCTTTGTGGAAATTTTACGAAATGAGAGTTCAACAGATTTTGTGGTCAAACGTTTCAATATTCTTTTTACGTGGCTTTTTATAAGAATCAATCAACTCAGGTTTTGATTTATAACAATTAGTTAATTTTTTTTGTAGATACTGCATTCTTTGTAAGAGTTCCAATATTTGTAACATTAGTTCAGTCAATTACGCATTGTATGATGGAACCAATTTTGAGAACACAATTCAAGGGAATAGAATCGTATATCCTACTGAATAATCGCCGTTGCTGAGGGTTCATTTACTTAGAATCGTTCGTACCATTCCTGTGGAATAGAGTGTAACAGTGTGGCGCGAGAATCTTGCGTCACTGACGCGGCTGCCGTCCATGAATGAAACCGTGGAGGCGCACGTGTGCAGCTCGCGAGCTCCTCCCGGCTCTTTAAATACGATTTAAACCGAACGCGGCCCAAAACGGGTTGCGGAGGTCGCGTTTTAACCGTGAACGAGCGTGAGAACAGCTCGTCGTCCGAGAAGCCGTTTCGCGTGCACATCTCGTCTCTTCACCATCTTTCTTCTTCCATATGCCATTGTGATTCATATTATAATAGTGAAAATTAACGATATAATGACAAAGACGATTATCTTTTTGCAGCTCTCTATTCAGATAAAAAAATTGAATTTTTGTATGCTCATGGGTTTAGAATTTAAATTTTGTGATGTATTATTATGCTGATTTTTAATTTGGAAGTTTTATTATTTGGAAGCTTAAAATGATCACAGTTGGAAAGATTTTTTATATAATTTATATTATGTATTTCGGTATTTATGTTCTATTCTCATCCTCCATGGATTATTAGTATTGAATTTTGTAATCATGTATGTTTACTTAATTCAGAGTTCCGTTTCACAATGTAAAACTACTTGAGGTCTTCTTGATATCGAACTATAATCAGAATCATTACGTCAGTTGTTCTATCAGGTTTCAATGTTACAAGTGTTTTACATTGAGCACCGTTATCAGGAGATACTGGCCGAGAACGGTGATCGGTACGACACGTAGGTATGTACGTACGTACGTACGTACGTACACAATCGTGAGATATGAAATTGATCCAAGACGTGTCATTGATCGCGGTAGGAATATTAATAGCTCACGCATATTCGCATATTTATCTGATTATTCAAGCTTGTCGCTTCGACCGTTAATGACCACGGGCAGGACGCTGTCGGTGGTCTCCCATTTAAAAAATAAAATGAAATTACAAAAGGAGAACAAAACGAACCAGGCGGTGGTGCCTGGGAGGGATATTTACGAACGCCTGTGTAGGTATTTGCTTTCGCCATGACACTGCTAACTTTCGAGCATACACTTTCCACACTGTGGTAACCGTTTTCATGAAGGGCTTCCCTGTCTTTCTGTCCTCGACGTATGAATTTAATTTAAAACAATTCTATAAAAATATAAGATAGTTAGAGTCGATTTCAGTGTTATATCTCATATGTACAAGAATTACTTTATTTACTGTAGAGAAGAAACGAAAAATGTGCTGTTCATTTTTATAGAAAAGAAATGGCAGTATAAAATTATTTTTAAATAGCAGAATTGATTTGCAAATTCGTTTCCTTTGTCTCTCCTTTCCCGGTTTTCCCATTCCTCTCCTGATAAGGCATTTTTAAATGACGCTCGAGAGGATCCGCGACGACGGAATTAATATTAAACTGGCTAGCCGCAGTGGAACTCTTCTTAATTAGCTGAATCAAGTATTCTTGAGAAAACGATTGTCACTGATCAAGATTAAGATTGCTGAACGTGAAGATATATTCCGCAGTTCCAGCATGCAATTGTTCAGACGCATAAGTAATTCCTTGTTTATGCGCACTGTCACTTCCAGTATTTCCAATTATCATTTAAAATTAAATGTTTCTTGTTTATATTAATGCAACAAGTTTATCTTATTCACGATTTCTGTGTTAAGGAATCCTACGGAATTTACAATTCCGTTGTATTTGGAAATGTCGAACGTCTAAAGTTTAGCGCAGTGGGACGGAGAATCGTTTGCTCGCTCCTTACTAGTTAAACTTTAATTCCAACAACGTCTGTTGGCAACATGTGACGATGTTTAGCACCCTCAGCGTGGTAAATATTTCAATGAACGATACCTTTCCTCTTCCTTTTTCACGCTTCTAACGCGTACATAGTTGAGAATCGAGTCACGGTTTGTATCGCTATGTGGCATACCTGGCCGACTTCGAGGACTCTTCTAACGCTGTTAGCGAGCACACATGAAACGTGGAACAGGGAGAAGTTTCAAAATCCAACGTTGGAGGTCAGTCGGATTCTTTTCTTTTTTCTAATGGCACGGGTCAGCCTTCGCGTGTAACTCATTTACGGCGACATATCTTCTTTAATGAGATACAGCGACGATTACCTCGATAAACGGGTATCGACGCATGATTTAAAAGAAATCCCCTGGTCAGTATTTGTAAATGTTTCCACAACTCTTCGCCAATGTGCAGATTATTTTTGCAAAAGATCAATTTGTATTCAGGCTGCGTGAAACGATTGCTTATAATCTTATACGCGTTATTCACACTGATGCTTCTTTTACGTACATCGTTTTCCTCAAGCGATCGTTGTCAATTTTATTGAAGAAAGTTGGCAAGACTATAATGATTGCGAAATTCTCTATGTGAAATGTAGAACTAACAGAACGAAGTAAAATCTTTTGGTAGGCTAAACACCCACGACCATCGTACTGACGTCAATTGCTATCAATGCACAATCGTAGGTGTGAAATGTGACATTTACTCGAGTGTTGGTGGAATATTGGACAATGCTTGAGTCGTTAAAATGCGATCTGCTTATTGGTAAAGGTGAAGGAGAGAGCTGCTTCCTACTGCGAATTCAATTTTTTACATGTTTCTACCAAAAAAGTGAATTTAACTTTTTAATCGTAATTATCAATTAGGTTCTATGAATGTCATTAGTAGATTGCTGGATATTATGTAAAATATGACATTTATGGTATTTACTTAGATTTAAATAGGAGTCAAGTTCATCATTTAGCTTTCGATATTTCATACATTTTCTGCATATTCAATTTTGGTATAAATTCATATAAGTTAAGAAATTTACTTAATATTAATAATAACATTTTATCAATGCACGTCATATTTTAAATTAAAACCCCCAATTTTATTCACTTTTGAGTGTTACACTTTTCCTTAATCTTTTTTGATAAGACACTCAATTCGTTCATATTATCATTTTATACTTCTCTTATCGTTTATTCGTTTTCAATGAAAATATTTTAGTATGGGGTTAAAGATAACGCATATCGTTAAATTCAATCGTGATTATTGATACTTTTAACCATGTACGTACACGATTGGAAAGTAGCCGATAACGAAGCGTTCCTTGACGCAGAGAGACGGTCGAAAACGCGGTCAATTAATTCGAGTATCGTTTCTCCGAAAATTGTCGCAGAAAGTCCTCGAGGAGCGGCTGGACAACAGGGTCGACGGCATGGTCGAGACCGGTCTTGTTCAGGAACTGCTCGACTTTCATCGGAGGTACAACGAGCAACGGTTCAACTCCAACACGTAAGTCCAACGAGTGGAGTTATGTAGTAC